TTTTTTTTGCCTTATTGCGAATCTAGTGAGGAGCTCCATGCCTGTCACATAGTAGACTTAACAATAAATTTTTATTGAATAAATACTTTGGATTGAATTTCTGGGATTTGTGGTATTATGTTTACTTGGCAGTAAATTCAGAACGTACTTCGTTTTAGTACATGTTGTTAAATACTATTTTTAAATGCATTCATCTCTTTCCTTTCTTAGTAAGTTTATTTAAAAATTGTCCTTTAACTATTTCCAGAGGGGATTTGAGTCAGCAGCATCAAGTGAAACTTGCATATACAACATGGCCACAAAAACGAAAATAAGCACTTCAAAGACTCTTGGAAAAATAATAATATCAGTACATTCCAAATTAAAATCATTAAACTACATAGAGGTGGGGGGGACTAATGCGATTACTGTAGTTGGGCATGAATTAAATTGTTACAGAATTTCTTCATCGTCAAGTCAATAAGAAATAAGGTAGTTCATATTTTCCATGGTCAGTTATATAATCTGACCAAAGAAATTCATTTTTCTTTGGAGATTAACCTTCATTCATTCACCAAATATCTGTTAAATGCCAACTGTGTGCTATGATATGATAAAGCATAATGAGGACACAGCAGTGAATAAAAAGGACAGTTTCTACCCATATGGAAGCAGACATATACACGTATGGTACCTACAGGGAGGGAGAAGTAAAGAACACTCTGTGCTGGAGGATTCAGGCAAAGTTTCACGGAGGACTCTGACATTCAGCTTGAGATGTAAGAGATTCCTAGCAATCAACTAGATAATTTAAAGACAATGGGGAAGCACATTGGTGTAGGTATCATCTCTGAGATGTGAGAGAGCGTGAAAGAAGGTCAGTGTATCTCAAAAAGAGGTAGAAGAGGTGGATTGGAGTTCGTCATTCCACTAACCTGTTGAAGATTTTTGAGCACAGAAGTAATATTTGCATTTGCAATAAATCACTCTGACTACCATGTGAAGGGCTTGTTGAAGGAGAGTAGTAGTAGACACGGGGAGACCAGTTTGGATGTTTTTGGAGAATTCATAATGAAAAATGGTGGTATCTTGGCATGGAATTATAGTAGTGGAAATGGTAAAATGTGGACATGTCTGTGAGTTATGGAATTCCCTGTTTTTTGAGAGTAGGATCAATGGGATTTAGTTCTTGAATGGGAAGTGAGGCAGAGTCTCAGAAGTGATTCCCAGTGTTCTCCTTTGAGCAACAACTGGGTGGATGAGAAAACCAAATGAAAAGCAGATCAGGGTAGATGATGAAGTTTATTTTTAATATATTGAGTCTGAAAAGCATATGAGACATTCAAGCAGACACATGAAATAGATAGTTGAGGAATTAGGCTTAGTATTCAGAATACAGATGAATTCTGGAGATAGAAATACTAAAGTCTTCATAATATAAAAGGTATATCAAGTTGTGGGCATGATCCTGGAGACAGTGAATAGAGACAGAAGCAGAGGTCTGCTGTCAAAAAAAAAGGAATCATTATTTGCCGGCTACCGGGCAATATGTTGGCTATTGTCATTAGTAACAATTTCACAGAAAGATTAAAGAAGCATTTTATTTGTCATAATATAAAATCCCATTTGATGCAGATAGATAGTTTTCTGGTGAGCTCAGTTGATTCAGAGATAAAGATTTAAAAATTCCCAGGGACATTTGGTTAACATTCACTTCCAATGGTTCTCAACTAGAGAGTAAACCACCTTCTGACAGGAGGAGTTTGGAAATGAATAGGCATATTTTTATAAACTGTCAAAATGACTATCATTTAATGGGTACGGTGCAAAACACATAACTGTCAAACTCAAGAAGACCATAGTACTATGTTGAGAGTCCCTGATAAACTCTTGTACCACATATATTTCTCTGACTTGCTGATTGTAATGTTCCCAGCTGCCTGTCAAGAACAGTCACCAACCCTTTCTGGATTTTCACCTCTGCATCACTCTCTTTGTCCTGAGCCTAGAGATGATGGCTCTGCCTCTGCGAGCCCCATATTATTTCCCTGTCCTTTATGACTCTTCTGCAATTGCATGGGGCTATGTACATAGGACCTGTGTAAATCAGATCCTTGAGAAGACCTAGTTGGCGTGTGCTGTCATTTTTCTTGGAGTCCTGACTCTTATGGCTATCTTTTCCACATATCATTTGTCTCAAATGTAGTTTCCTAGGATTTTGTAATTCCAGATTTAGCTTCCTGTTAAGTTACAAGAAGCTCTTGAATACAGTAGTATCTTTTTTTGTTTGTTTGTTTTATTGTTTGTGTGTGTTGTATATATGTATATATATATATTAGTCTTTCAGAGGATAAAGTTGTCATTTACTTTTGTAATTTAAGCAGACTGGATATTCTTGTCTTCGTGGTGGAGTGGCTTTTCCTCCCTGCTTGAAGGTGGTCCCAATAGTACTAAATAGAAACATAGTTTCCTCATTAAGCAATTTGTTAAAATATGTATGTTCAAGACATTCCTAAAAAATACTTAGTTAAGACTTCCAACATTCTATTACAGATGACATGGAAAAGCCATTTTGAACCTAGAAAAAGTTTAAGGTCAGATTTTTCTAGTCAATCATGCCAGTCAGAAAAAAGTCAGCGTCAATGGGCATTGAATGAAAGACAGAAGAAAGCTTTTCTTTTCTTTGATGACTCAAGATCAGCAGAAACCCGGAGTTCCTATTTTGAACACTTTACAAACCCAACTATAAATGGAGACAGTGACTGAGCAACTGGGCTGATGACAGGCATGCTCTCTGCTGCAGCTGTAAAGTCTGTCCCAAGAAAACAGTTCAAAATTCACATATTTTGGAAATGAAAACCAATAACCTTCATAAACAAAAAGAATTAATATAGACCTGACTCCTTAGAAGAAACTTTTTTCATAAGTTTTTTTTCCCTCTCTCTCGGTGAAGACACACACATACACACACACACACACACACACACACACACTTTAAGCATCCTAATGTCTTTGAATTAAACAATCATGGCACAATTTCAGGAGCTATTGCTTTCTTCTAGGAAATATCTCACTACTAGAGTTCTCTTTGGAGATGAGAAGATTTTTCTCAACTTAATTATGAATTCTGTTGTGTACGTGTGAGCATGTTTCTGAATATTTTATATATTATAACTATACGTTTGAAAATAGCATATTTAGGTATATATAAATATATATGTGTCTCTGTGTACATAAACATACACACACACACACACACATATATTTTTTTTCTTTGCAATTTTACATGCCTTACATCATGGGAGGTAGAAGGGGTAAAGAACAGGGATTATTTTAAAGCATATTTATTTATGTTCTTCATTGTTAAAGAAAACTATGCCAACATTCTTCTGGCCCACATATTCAATTAAATATATAGTGAATCTTTTCTACTTACTGGATTATTTGGTGCTTCTAGGCATTTATTTTTGGCATTTCATTTCATTTTTGTTTTTGCAGGAATTTTTGAAGTTGTATTATGATTTAACATTTTTATTTTGAAAATCAGGCACATTTTAAAAATTAGTCTGCTGCAGCTATAGTCCACCCCCAAAACCAGATAGTTCAAAATTCACATATTTTGAAAATAAAAATGTAGGTGTAGAAATTTACTTATACAGATTACTTGTTTATGCTTTTTTATTTATATATAAATCTATTGATATAATCATTTATAAATACAGATATGCAAATATGTTATTTTTTTGAGAATTGAATCTCTGTAGCAATCATTTTTATGTAGTATTTTTCCATTAGTCATTTTCTTTTTTCTTTAATTTGAAGAATATTTTCAAAGGATTTAGTCATTTTCTAAGCATCTTCACATGTAAAGCTCTGTGAGGTTAATGGGGGGAGGGTGGTATCCTAGGATGAATAATGTGTCTCTCTCCCTGTCCCCCAATCTGGTAGAGAAGCTATTCATAATAGGTTAGACTGAATAGATTTCTACATTATCAATCAGAATTAGCTGTGGCCAGGAGATAAGAACAGACAAGGTGCACCCCTTGTGTGTCTGCCTTTTAAGAGCATGCCCTCCACTTTCCTTTTGTTCAAGTTAAGATATCATGTTACATTGCTCTATCTTGCTATTTTTCGTAACCAATGTCACAAAATTTTTCTCTATGTTACTTTCTTTAGAAGTTGAAGTTTCAGGTCTTTCTCATCTTTAAGCTTTAACCCATTTTTAGTTAATAATGTCAGATAAGGGTCCAGTATCATTGTTTTGCATGTGTATTTCTAGTTTCCCTAACATCATTTATTGAATTGCTCTTACCCATCATGCATTCTTTGTCCCCTCTTAAAAAAAATCAATTGATTGTATATGCATGGAGGTATTTCTGGGCCCTCTGTTCTGTTCTGTTGGGCTGTATATCTTGTTTTATGCCAGTACCATATTGTTTTGATAACTGTAGCTTCATAATATATTTTGAAATCAGGGATGGTAATGCCTCTGGCTTTGTTCTTGGCTTCAAGATTAATGTGGCTTTTTGTGGTTCCATGTGAATTTTAGAATTGTTTTTTCTATGTATGTAAAATGTCATTTTGGTATTTGGATAGGGATCTCATTGAATCTGTAGATAACTTTGGGTAGGATATACATTTTAACAATATCAAGTCTTTCAATCCATTAACACAGATGTTTTTCCATTTGTTTGTGTCTTGTCTAATTTCTTTCACTAGTGTTTAATAGTTTTCAGTGTATAATCTTTCTCCTCAAATAATTTTTCTAAGTTTTTTATGCTATTGTAAATGGATTTTTTTCCTTTCCTTTTCTGTTATTCATTGGCAATGCACAGATATATAGCTGATTTTTAGGTTAGTCTGTGATCTCTGAAGGCAAGATCATGCCTTATTTGTATTCTACATAATAATATATAAATAACAATTAGCAGTTATTAATTTTTTTATTTGTGTATTTTTGTTGAGTTTCCTTGGCAGTAATTTTTGTTTTCTTTCTTCCTTTTTCTTCCTATTCTTCTTAGGGCTCCACTAGTTCTACAGCCTCTCCTCCGGTTTCAACCCCAGTCACAGGACACAAGAGAATGGTCATCCCGAACCAACCCCCTCTAACAGCAACTAAAAAGTCTACATTGAAACCACAGCCTGCACCCCAGGCTGGACCCATCTCTGTGACTCCAATTGGTACACTCAAACCCCAGCCTCAGCCAGTCCCAGCCTCCTACACCACGGCCTCCACTTCTTCAAGGCCTACCTTTAATGTGCAGGTGAAGTCAGCCCAGCCCAGCCCTCATTACATGGCTGCCCCTTCATCAGGACAAATGTATGGCTCAGGGCCCCAGGGCTATAACACTCAGCCAGTTCCTGTCTCTGGGCAGTGTCCACCTCCTTCAACACGGGGAGGCATGGATTATGCCTACATTCCACCATCAGGACTTCAACCTGAGCCTGGGTATGGGTATACCCCCAACCAGGGACGCTATTATGAAGGCTACTATGCAGCAGGGCCAGGCTATGGGGGCAGAAATGACTCTGATCCTGCCTATGGTCAGCAAGGTCACACAAATACTTGGAAACGGGAGCCAGGGTACACTCCTCCTGGAGCAGGAAACCAGAACCCTGCTGGGATATATCCAGCCAGTGGTCCCAAGAAGACCTATATCACAGATCCTGTTTCAGCCCCCTCTGCACCACCATTGCAGCCAAAGGTAAGAAATTCAATCTGCCTTCCCCAGAAAGCAAAGCCTAAGACAAAAGTGTATGTGTTACTGTTACTTCACTAACAAATATAATCCCAGGGAAACATGAGTGAAGCCAGGGAGGAGAGAGAGACTATTTGGTATATTACCAGTATGGCCACTCTTTAGTATCAAATGGAATTACTTGCTCAATCTTGAAGAATCATCTTCCAAAAGGCCATAGAAACCACAGCATCTCAGGACAGTGTTCTGATGGAGAAAAAGAAAATAATTTACTTTTCACATCTTTCCCCGTATTAATTCAGGCTTCCATCTAATATGCAGAAACTTCCTCAATATCTTGCATTTGCTTGGACATTAAATAGGGGTGTAGCATCTCAAGCCGATCTATAGGTGAGACCTGTGGAGGGCAAAACTAAGGTGATCTGTTGCCAGGCTGCAGCCCTGTGAAGGCAATCATAACTCCTGCAATGATGGTGTCACAGTGGTTGCTGAGGCAGAACAGGCAGCCAAGGACCCAGGAGATGGGTGAGGTCAAACAGGTCTAAGATACTGCAAATACCTTGGCTAGTTTCTCCTTTGAGAAGGGGCTGCAGTATCATGTGGCTTGTTTGTGACCCCTTGTCTATTCGTTTTACTGATCCTCCTGAAAGAATCTTATTCTTCACCCTCTAGCACTATTAAGCAATGTTTAAAAACTCCTTATATGTGATGGTTACATCTTATTTGATTTAATTGTCCATATGTGGATCTTTGAAGTTAACACTCTCTGTTACTTCTTCTGAGTAGGTAAGGTATAATGCTGCATATGCCCACTCACCACAACGTGGATTTTTCATTAGTACTGGACCCAACATGATGTTGATTCCTTCCATTATGACCAGAGAAACCATGAGAACAACTTGGAACGGGTGAAAATAGAGGAACTGGGCCCGTTTCCAGCCATTTGGGTTGGAAGAGTGCCCTTCCTTCTTTTCAGTTAGAACTGTGAGAAATCAGAAATTTGAGAGCCCTCAATTAGCTAAAAGATGAATGGTAGTTTTGGGGAATAGATTGGGTAGAAGTTTAGACTGTATTTTTAAAATTCTTTCCACATTTTTAACAAGACGGTCAATTTCAAGACAGATCTATTCACATATTCAACATTATATCAAAAACCTCCTTAGAGGGTGTTTGCTAAACTATTTTTCTTATATGAAAGTTTCTGCCATATTAATGTTGTCCTATGTGAATTTCAGGTTCTATAGGGGAATAGAGCTCTTCCTGACAGTGGGGACTGTGAAGAGCTGGGTGGGGAAAGCCAGCTCAAGAAATCCATTAGCTTTATGCGTGACCACTATATGAAAGTGGCCGGCCGGCCGGGCGCAGTGGCTCAAGCCTGTAATCCCAGCACTTTGGGAGGCCGAGGCCGGTGGATCACGAGGTCAAGAGATCGAGACCATCCCGTTCAACATGGTGAAACCCCCGTCTCTACTAAAAATATTTTAAAAATTAGCTGGGCATGGTGGCGTGTGCCTGTAATCCCAGCTACTCGGGAGGCTGAGGCAGGAGAATTGCCTGAACCCAGGAGGCGGAGGTTGCGTTGAGCCGAGATCGCGCCATTGCACTCCAGCCTGGGTAACAAGAGCGAAACTCCGTTTCAAAAAAAAAAAAAAAAAAAAAGAAAGTGGCTGGCCGTGATCCTTTTCCAATAGATAGATTCCAAGTTAGAATTTTAAATGATTTTAAACATTACTCAGTTTCTGAAGTCTCTCTATGAAAAGAAATATTATTACAGCTTTTTATTTCTTTTTAAAATAAATTTTTCCAAAATAGCCAATCTGAGCAGCCTTGCTGTTTGTTAATGTCACAGGATGTTTGTATCACTTCCTCCTGGCCCAGACAAGGGGAGTCTATTTTCAAAACAACCAGTTCAGAGAAACAGATTATTCAACTTAGCCACACTTTCTGTTTTTAACAATTGCAACAGATTCACCTAGGGAAGATTACAGTAAAATAAAATTTTAGGTCAGAACAATTGCTGCCAACATTTAAGTTCAAATAGATAGGCAATTTTGCCCTGCCCAAAGCAGGGCGACTGAAAGCATGGCTGAGTGATGTTTCTGAAGGAAGGAGATGGGGTCTGCGTTGCTCGAGGATTGTGTTATCCCGCGTAGGAGCCAGACATGAGAGAAAGCAAAACAATGTGTACTGAAGAGACTCACCTGGAGGAGTACTGAGCTAGTCTTCAGGTGTTGTTTTCTCATTAAGTCACTGGGAACTCTGACCAGCCCCTCTTAAGCATTTGGAATCCATCCATTGGTGTAGGAGAAAGAATCAGCCCCCACTGCTAGAACTGGATCTAAAACACTGAGTCCAGCCACATTGTTAACATTTGGCCCATCCTCACCAACTGACCCAGGGAGATGGAATGAATTTTTATGAACCACTCATCAGAAAACATGGATCTTTATTTTGCTTCTTATTTGAGCAAGGTAGTTTATTCAAGATGATCTATTAGATGATTTACAGATTCTGGATATCAGATTTTATGTTATTTTTTAAATTTTTGATATATTTGTTTTTTAACAGTTTCATGTGTTTTCACATCATATTCGGTTGTACATTTTTAAAATGAAAATCAAATCTTGTACTTTCACTCTGATTATTAAGAGTGGTTAGAAGTTGATATTTAGCCATCTGTCTGTGCTTTGGGAAAGGAGAAAGAGGCTGGTGAAGCTATGGATAAATTCTGTGTGTGTTGTGAGGGCATTGGCTGATGAAGGGGTGGGTTTCTTCACAGTTGGTCTTTGAGCAAAACACTACTGTATTCTACTGCACCTGTGCACAGAGGACCTTATTGTCCTTATATTGACTGTTCGGCTTAATTATGTGACTATGGGCATGAGAAATGAGCTCCTAATTCTTGACCTAGTTCTTTTGTTGACATTCCTCTTCCAGTTTGAGGAAAACCTCTAGACCTCTTTATATCACGCTTCAAACCCTAGTAAAGTAGAACATCATCTTTACTAATTAATTAATGATTGAAAAGGGCTTGGAAATTTCCAAGGGCTGAATAATTGCCAAGTGAGGACTGTTCAGCTTTCCACTGGCTTTCATTTATTTTTAATTTTTTTTAAGTCACTGATGGAAAACTTACCCTCATGTCTGAAAACAATTATACTTATTATATTGAGTAATTCTGGGGAGTTTGGCATTGAACCCATTAAGGCAAAAGTTTAAAAGATGAAATAAATAAATCTCCCCAATATTTGAGATGAGCTGCTTTAGTTTTCTTATATCAAGATAGTATAAAAAGAGGAATATAGTATAGTAAAAAAAGAGGTAAGACAGGATGGGGAAATGGAAGAAAGGAAGGAAAGAAGGAAAGAAAAAGAAAGGGGAAGAAATGAAGAAAGGAAAGAGACAGGATGAGAACCTTTAAGGCTTAAGGGATCACGATTGTATTTATGTTCCCATAATATGCCTCGCAGTGAATTTGCATGCTGCCGTAGGCCATACTGTGTTTCCTATACCATCTGAGCTGAGTTCCTTGCAAAATACTGTTATAAATAAGTCATTATAAGGCAGAAATGTTCTCTTCTCACTGGAAATCCTCTTTTAGATGCCGTAGAATCTCTTCTGTTTGCTGATTTATAAAACCTAATGTTAGATACATCTTGCTGTGTATAGCACAGGCCTCTAGTCCTGTGCACTAGTTATATCCCTGTGAGTCGGGATGCACGTTTTCTCCAGTATTAAGATACGGTGGCTCAGCTTGAAAGTTCCAGAGCCAGCACCTGGAAGCTATTCAGGACGCTCAGGTCTAAAGTGACCAGGCAACTTTAGCCTCCACTAATCGTAAAAACCCATCTTTGTCGGCCTCAGCTATTAAAGGGACAGGTATTTGCTACATAATGTGTGAAAATGCTGGGGCTGTGCCTCCCAGGAAAGTTGGAGAATCTCGTCCCCGTGAGGGTAGAGGTTATGTTAAATTCTGAAACCACATAATTAAAATTTTCTTTGAAAGTATTTCAGGAAAAAGCAACCTTATTCTTAAGCATTTCAAATTTTGGATGCTATTTTAAATGGTATTTTAAAATTTGTTTACAATCATTTGTGATTAGTATATAGAAATAACAATAGATTTTTGTATACTGACTTTGTATCCTACAATTTGTTAAATGTAATGGTTGTACTAGCTTCTTTAATAAGACTTCTTAGGCAATTCTTCCTGTTCATTTTAGCTGCAAGTTGTTGATGCACTTGTTTATTTCCTTTATGGATAAGTCTATTCATGAACATTTTATGTTTGAAAGATTTGCTTGCTGATTGGAAAAGAAACAGTATCATACAACTTTGAAGGAAATAAGTTGGAAAAAACAAGAAATCTTTAGTCTCCACTTCCATTGGCTAGTCTACTTAAACCATCAGACGTAGAAGCAATTTTCAAAGTGTAAAACACTCTCATATAAGGGGTTATAGGTCCTAACCCCTTACATTTACACATGAGAAAACTGAGGTCTGAAGAGTCACAGTGACTTTCAGAGTTATGTAGTTAGTAAATGACCACATGTGAGTACAAAATGTAACTCTTCTTTCTATTCTACGATTCTTTTCTACACTGGTTAACAATAGAGTAAATGACCTTTAAAAGGTGTAATAATAACTATTGTCACAATTATCATATTTCCTATCTTTAGAACCCCATCATCAGTTTTGTAAGGCAACTTAATAATAGAAAATGGCTCCTATTCTAGCGCTCTCCCTATTCTGTCTCACAGCTACTCACATGAAAACACTTGTTGATAGGTTCTCTGTAATTTTGACTTAGTCCATGATCTCTCTATACTGATTTCAAAAATTATCATCAGAATGGATGTGCTACTATACTAAGAAATGTCTGTGAATGTTATTTATTTCTTTTGCTTAGCTAATTGTTTTCATAGATTCGGTTATTTAAAAATAATCCAGGTTTTTTAGTCATGAAATCCTTGCCTATGCCTATGTCATGAATGGTTTTGCCTATG